TACTAATTTGCCATTACCCATTTAAAGACAAACTAATTAGTAATTAGACTTAGGTGATTACGTAGACTACTAGCCATGATAACAATTACTAAATGTGACTAACTCAAAAATACAATAATGGCAACTTTTAAACTAGGCAAGCTCGATTTTAATCACTACAGTGTTTTGATCCATAGTATTAGACAATCATCAGGTGTTGAAATGCTATAATCATTGAAATCAGAACTTGGCGAATGTAAATGTAAAAATTATTCAGTTTAGTATATTTGTCACTAAACATGTTACATAGTTTCCACATGAATTTTTTACATTTTGATTTATAACCATATTGGTTTGAAAACTTGATACAAACATGTAAATGCCTTTATTTTATGTATGTTTTGTGACATGTCATTTATAATATCCTGATTTAAAAAAAAAAATTAAAGATCTTGTGATGTCTCAAATATTGTAATGGTTATAAATATTATTCTTTCCAGTTTTTAATTATATTTTATGCTTTTTTTTTACATGGTAAATAACAGAGTGAAATTTGTTATGAATAAAATACACATTTTTGTTTTGATTTGTATTTATAGCTGTTCAGAAAATGACAGCAATGAAGAATGTCAACAGGGGAATTTTCTTTTGAGTGGTAAATATTTTATTTTAAATTAATAGTGTAACATTGATTTATTTAAGCTGAAGCAACATATAGATTTCTCAGTTTAACATGTTTTGTATTCAGAAAACACTTGTATCATAATATTCTGATGACTTAAGAAATATTTCTCAAAGTTTGTAAAGCTCATTTTCAGTGAAATAACTGAATTTACTTTACATATTGTTGTACTGTTTCCAGTCTTTACAGAACACAATAGTTGTGGTAATAAGGTTTGGCTGTTAGGTATAAAGAAAAAAGAACTGTTATGAGAAGTAACTTCACATTTTGTGAACCATCTTTCCTGTTAACATAAAGCATGTGAATAAATATCTTAAAACAAAAACAGTATTATAGCATCTGAGTAAATGACTAATGGTTTTTTTCATTAGCCTTATTTTACCCTCTTATAGCCATGGTCAAGAAATAAACCTGAAAATATATGTAACTATAATCAATATTTTTATAAGCAAGGTCATGTCTAACAGCAATGTGGGATTTCACTAATTTCCATCTATCCTAAGAATTTCCAACACAGCCTGTTTCACCCAAGTTGTACTTAACTAGCTAGTTTGTGAAATATCCATTCAGTTTTATCTGTGGTTTTTGTCTTATATAAGAGTTATCAGTTTAGATTGGAATTGAGATTGTGTAAGTCAAAGTAATACAATAGGATTTTAGGAATTTTCTGTTTATATCAGACATGTGTATTTTAAAAATAATTTAAACAAAATCATGCAGTCGCTTTCATTACATAAACCTTTAATAAAAAAAAATATACCTTTTATATATACTTTGTATTTAGTGTCAATGACCTTTTTTTAAACAATTTGAATCATGATTTTTTATATGGCAGGTATCTTCTCTGACGTTAAAATTCTTTTATTTTAAGTTCCTTGATTTTCAGAATTAAAAAAAAATCTAACTGATACATATTGAGTTTAGTTAAATATATATAATTTAAGATGCCTTAAATATTAATGAACTATTAATTGTTGCTGAGTAACAAAATATTTGTGTAGCTATCAGAAAAATTTAATTTGTCTATATATACACCTGGAAAAAAGTTAAGCACCCCCGTGTTTTTTTCAAGTGATTCAGATTCGACGTTCTTGTGACTGATTATAAATTACCATTCAATCTAAACG